TATATGTATATATATATATACACATATATAAAGTCACAGAAAGAAACTAGGCAAAGCCAGTACAAAGTACTGGATTTGGTCATGCAGGCAAGCGAATGACAGAATCAACAGAGAATCATGCTTAGGGAAATGTCTGAGTAAAAACTGCAGAGAGAAATCAAAAAGAAAACATATTGAGTGAGGAAAGAAAACCTGAAAGAGATAGGGATAGGACAGGCTGACAGATACAGGAATTTAAGAGGAGCATAGAGTTTGAGGGAGAACGAAATCAGATTAAGTTTAGGTGGTTAAAAAGTAATTGTCAGGAAGGGCCACTGGGAAAATGGCAGAACATTTAACATTCAGGATTCCACTATGCTCACAGTTAAGGGAAAACAAAATAAGCTGTAAGGATCGATAATATTTGACATTTCTGTATTGATAGCAAGGGGTGGCAACCTTAAACACATAATAGGACATTGCACTAACAGAGTAGTTAATATTTAAGCAAACACAACACCGAGAAAATTACCAGGCAATAACAGATCAGTGTTCCTGCTTCAAATATTCTCAGTGGTGTGCACATGTGTGGGGGAGGTGGAAAAGAGAAAGGTAGCTGAGAGAGGTAGGTTTGTATTTAGGCCTTTCATTGGACAGTCTACTTGAAACTGTATTTATTCGGGTTTAATAGAGGCAAATCATTAAGATAGTTTTAATTCAGCAAAAAAAAAAAAAAAGGTAAAATAAAAGACTATGAGTGAGTTCAAAAAAAAAAAGAATGAAAACTGTATTAGTCTGAAACCTTTCCACTGTGTTTGATTAAATTTCTGTGATCTTCTATGGATTCAGAAGGGGCTTACTGCAATGGCCTCATGAGTGAATGACAGGCAGAAGGGAAACAAGCAGAGAGCAAAACACCTGTAAGCGGCCAGTTCACAGAGGCCACACAAAGCAAGCGGCAGGCAATGAGGAATTTCTTGTATTGAACAGAATCCTTATAGACAAAGGAGAGTTCAGTCTTCATGCGCGGGCTGTTTAGAAAAGCAACTGCTGAAACCATTCCTTGAAAAGCAGGCACCAGTATAAGCAAGAAATTAAAAGGGAAGAAAAAGCAGGAACACTGACCAAGTTTACTAGACGTTAGTGTTAAAGCTAAAAATGTTGCCATGCATCCAGGTTCATTCTCTCTTTATCATGCACAACAGTTAGATACCAGCACTCATCAAAAGCCATGACCAGGGCATTCTCTGCTTAAACATAACATTAACTTAAAAAATGCCACAATGCAGCTACATTCATTTCATTTGTATTCTTTGTTATTGGTTTAATTAATAGTTTTGTAAGGTGGGTAAAAAGTAAAAAACACACCAACCTTCTCGCAGCTCTGAGGGATGTAGGGGGTTTGATGCAGAACACAATGAAATGAGGAAAGGAGAAAAACAAGGGAAACACAGAGAGAGTAAAAAGGCCATATCAAGGCTTTCAACTGCTACTTGAACATCTCTACTTGCACTAATTAAACCTTCCTACCTCATCTTGAAAAGTTAGCATTTTGCACAGCTACAACGGTGTTAGAAACAATAGCTAGCATAATTTTGAAATTTTCCTTTGGATAAAAAGGTATACATGCCTCATGCAGTACAGGAAAGTCAGTATGTTGGAGGAGAAGAGAAAGAAAAAAAAAAAAGATCAGATAACTTTCTATGGATGTCTCATAGCTATGAAATGTTTTCCTTTCTTTTTTTGTTTTAATTAGCCAAAAGTGTCACGCCATACAAAAACATATCAGGTTGACTGAAAAATCAGCTCTAAAAAAAATTTCAAAATCAAGCTAGGTATTTTTGGTACGGTCATCCACCCTACAGTAAAGTTCACAGCTTTTATGTTTTCAGCCCTGTTTCCCCCACCCATCCCCTTATATTGTAGACACACACACACACACACATATATATACACATATGTATGTATGTATGTTATAGGCTTTGTTGTACAGAAAGCCACATCAACCAGAGGTTGGAAATACTGCCGGAAACAAAGCACTTCTTTCTAGTTGAACCAAAGGAATATTTTCAGATGTTAAAAAAAAATAAAATTAACCATTTATATTACTGTACAGAGGAATAGGATGGTTTTCTTATTAATCATACCTGTCATACAGACATGTAATTTCTTCAAAAAATACAGCCAATTGACCACTATCATTGTAAGGACGACACTTCACTCACAAGTCTTACACTAAAGATATGTAAATAAATATATATATATACATACATATATATAAAGAAGAAATAGAAAAGAAGAAATTACAGTTGTGCTCTGCATACATATTAGTATAAAGTTAGAAGCTTTTCCTTTGCAATTATGCAGCAGAGGTCAGGTAGGCAGACACCTCAGTGCCTTGGGGTTACACTCAGCTGATTAGTAGCACATCGAGCAGTCACTTCAGGAGTTCGAAAGAAAAGCAAAACCAAACAAAACCAATAAAAGAAAATAAATGCAAAGCACAATTTAACTTAATGCAGAAAAAACAGAACTTAAGATGTAAAAATATAAATATACTTACAAACCTTAACCCACAGGATAGACTGGACTCAAGAGTGCTTTAAAAGAAAACAAACCCCAAGCCTTTCCTCTACATTTTAAAATGAATTTTACAACTGACACATTTACCATGGCATTTTCATCATTAGAGTGGTAACTGTACAGATCCTGAAAGTATCTTATGCCTGAATCTGAATGAAGAGTGGATGCCAGGGTTATGTCATTCCTACCTCTGACATATAGATTGGCAGGGGCAGAATAGCGTGTACCCGCACTGTTGGTTGCAACACACTCATATTTGCCTTGGTCAGATTCTTCACTCAGTTCAATTTGGAGGGCACCTGTATGAATATAAAATACATTGCCAAAGAGACGGTCAGAGAAGGCTTTTTATATCCATAACAATACACCGCTTAACAATATGAAAAGCTTGTATGCGAAGGTCCACTCAACGTCGGTTCATTTTCTTGCTAAGGTGCACAGACAGAAAATGATGCAATGAAAAAAACAAAGAGATTATTTTTTTCACATCATCAGTGCTAGCACAGGAAAACAATCTGCATTTGGCAAAAAAAAACCCCTCTCTAAACAATACTCTTTCCTAAACCATTAAAATGAAGATGGGTGAGACTGCTTCAAGGAAGAATGGCTTTTGAATAAAACAAAAGAGATTAAATAGTCGGGTCATTATAATTTTTTTAAATTTTTATTTCATTGTTTCAATCTAGTAACAAAAGTAGCACAAAAGGTGGTACTCATAAAAAAGGCAGGACAGGCTTCAAGAAATCTTCTGCTGAAGAAAGCCAAAAATGTGCAGCAAGAACAAAAAGGCTGCTTGAAGTGAAAAAAAAGAAACTGCATTAGTCATTTATAATCATCAAAATATTGTTTTAAAGAAACAAAACTCCCTTAAGACATGCAGATTGGTAAGAAAAGAAAGACAGTTTTCCGCAACTTACAATCTTAAAGTACGTTTGCTGAAAAACAAAGAGCAGTTGAATTAGAAGACAAAAAAGTTAAAAAGCATGGTCTACGCCAACAAGGAAGAACCAACCAACCACTGCTGAGGACCATAGGAGGGCCCCCCCCAAGACACCCATCAAAATCCACAAGTGGGATTAGCAGTGTGGTGTCACAAAACCCAAGAAAAATACAAAACAAGAATTATAAAAGAAGTAAACATTTTTGCCAGAGTATCAAAAACCAACAATACCACACACCACCAAGAATAATAAGTCATTAACCTTTCATTTCCAAAGCCTGTAGATTAGAAGATCCAAAAATCTAGAGGTGAGAGAATTCCAAGAAAAAGAAAACAACAACAAAAAATGATAAAGGGAAAAAACCCACTTCTTTAATTTTTTAGGGGGGGACACATCATTCTCAAGTTTAGGAAGTTAAAAGAAAAAAGGATTGAAGAAGAACAAAAATAAAAACCTTTTATGAAAGATAAGACAAAAAGAAGATAGTCCATGTTGTCTTCTGCATGTCTGCTACTGTTCTCCAGACCATCTTGGCTTTGGTCCAGGACAAGAACAGCTAAGGAAGAAAAAAAATGATCTTTTTTTGCTCCAGTTGGACAAAAAAAAGAGGAAGGAAAAAAAAAAAAGAAAAAAGAAGAAAAAGAAGAAGAAGAAAAAGAAGAAGAAGAAGAAGAAAAAGAAAAAAGAGGGACAAATGGTACGCTGTGACTGGGCTATGGCCAGAAGACCTGGATATGCTTTCTTTGAAGCATATCACAAACTGAATTATTGTTTTTTTTTTTTTTTTTTTTTTCAATGAATAAACAAAAAAGGGAAAGGAAAAGGGAGTGTGCAGAAAGAAAGGTCACAATATGAGAGTCACTGATCATAACCAAACAAGACAAAGGAAAAAAAAAATCAGATGATGAACATTTCTGTGGTTTGTTTGGGGTTTTTTTGGTTTGTTTGTTTTGTTTTTTTTTTGTTTTTTTTTTTTTTAAAAAAAACAAACAACAAACCAAAAAAAAACAGGACAAAGATGAGAGGGATGAAAGGACAGAAAGAATGAGTAAGATCATTCTGTGAACGTTAGTTCAGCACTCTTACCTCTTATTGGTGTACCACCTGGGTGGATAATATGAATGCAAATAAGATTAGAAAGAAGAAGCATTAGTACGAGAAGAAGGAGGCTAGGGCTTTGGAAGAAGAATCAAATTAGATTTACAGAATTAAATAAGGTCTTAAGAGAAACTTGAATTACTATACTGTTAAAACAGGAATATATTAGATAGTATTATCAGGTTATAAAAGCAAGTTGCATTGTACCACAAAGGGCAAAAAGGCTACAATTGGCTGCATTGCCATTCTCAGAGTAGCATCTGAGTTCTTAGATGTTTGGTTATATAGGGTTAGATATATATCGAATATCCCTCAAATACTTAAAGGAAACTTTACAATACTGCACTTATGACATAGTTTAGGAAAATATTGGACACTCTATTTAAATATATATATATATATAAATCTATATATATATAAAAAGAGGATACACTGAAGGTTATCTCAAAACAAACACTGTAGTTTAGGCTGGATTATGGCATTTACTGTTCTATAGCTATGTGATACATGTGTAGTTCTTTTAGGTGTTGCTATGACTGATAAGACAACATTTCTGTGGAGGTGTGCGTGTGCGCCTCTATAGGGATCTGGTGACTACACTGACTGTTAGTAAAATGCATGCCATGCATTTTAAGAATAATAATAATAGTAATAATATAATAATCATCATAATAATAATATTCTGAATATGGAAATTAGTGGGGGTGAAGTGCGCTTCAGAACTAAGCACTTACCAATAGATTCTGGAGATTTAAATACGGAGAGAAGAAAGACAGCATAAAAATATTATTATATTCCTTATAATTTGGTACAAAGTTTTCAGTTAAAGCTTTATATACTAAATCATCTATGTCACGTGAAAAATTAATTCTTAATTTACATTAACAGAAGGTTAATTTACACAGTTCTGCTGACAACAAGCAAAAAGTCAGTTAACAAGACGATTTAACATCACAGGACAGGTCAAAAGCTGAGAATTCTGGGTAGACATGTGATTAAACAACTTAGATTCTACAACGATATCTACTACAATTGCCAAAGAAAAAAGCTCATTCTATCCCAATTACCTTATTTAGGGATAAGCTTTAAACTTTATAAATTTAGAGTGCTGTTTGTCTTTTTTTTAAATCTAAAGAGAGCAAAAGAATAAACTAGGGCAGGAGGAGAGTAAAAGAACTGCTAGGGAGGTGCAAGGGGCAAAGAGAGAGAGAGCAGCAAAAGCTGGATTCTACACCAAAAGCAGACTTCTGTAGATCCAGAAAATGTAGGATTCATAAAGCTTTAGCATGGGCGCACACTACTGTGGCTAAATGTGTTGGAAAAATGTTAAGCCAGCAAAAAAACTTTATTCATACATTACCCATTTTTTTTTTTTTTTAATTTTCTGTTAAAGGTATAATTGTGCATGGGAAAAAGTATTGTGTTTTATGTAGTTGTGAGAGGAAAGAAGATGTGTCCAAACTGGCTAATCTTTGGTGGAGTCAAATGTGGAAAAGACAGCACAAAACACATTTTAAATTTTAATTGAAGTGTCTAATGCAGGTTTTGGTTTTTGATGAGTATAACCATTGGTACTCCTTGCAATTTCTGAATGAAGTCCAATGTTGAAATAAATTTGTTAAAAAAAATAAAAAGGAAAGAAGAAAGAAAGAGGAGAAAATGGATCCATCAAGTACTGCAAAAAGCAGTAAAGAAAAAAAATTATCAAAAAGTACAGTCACAGCAGTGAGCAATGTGGAGTAAACAGAAGCTGCAAAACACATAGAGACAGACTCTAGAAAAGGCTATGACAACATCACAGACATGGACAACACATTCAGTAACACAGAAAGAGAGAAGGAAGAGAAATTATTACCTATAAATAAAAAGGAAAAAAAAAAGGAAGAGAAAGAAAATAAAGAAAAGGTGAGAGAGAACAGCTCTGGGCGTCAGTGGAAACAGTAACAAGACCCTACCTGAGCGTAACTGTTTGATGCGGCCATTGTTGTTGCTTGTGTCAACAGGTAAGAAATCTTTGAACCAAGTTATTTCGGGATCAGGATTGCCACTGGCTGCACATAGCATGGTAGCTGTACGAGTTCGTTCAACCACCTTCAGCTGTGGGCCCATATCAATGGTGGGGAAACCTCGAGGAATTTGATCCTCTGTAAAAGAAATGTATGATTTGAAGGATTTCACTTTAGTTATGTAGTAACAAGAAAGCCCCAATCACCACCTTTCTTACAAGTTCAAGGGTCCCCTAAATATTTGTATGCAAGTAATTGATGCAAAGAAAAGATACTCAGGCAATATTTTTGGTAACTTATAGTGATCAAAATGCTGATACAAAACAGAAAGTTCATAAAATTGGCTACAATTGCAGTTACTTATAAAGTGCATTAAATTGGCATAGATACTGTACGTAGTGCATAATCATTAGAAGTGCACTATGGTAGTTTACAACACTGATGTTGCTCTGCTTGTGTGAGTCCTTATTATTTTATATGAAATATTGAATTATCATGCCTACGAACAACAGGGAAAAAAACCCTTTCTTTACATGAAGCAAGTACATAAGGAAGTGTGATCATGCAGTACAGGAGCTGGCAAGGGACTTGACCCAAGTTCTATTTCTTGCTTTTTTCATTATTACATGCATGCTGTTGGGCTTAACTTTTAATGCCCCTGTGCTTCAGTTGTCCATCTAAGATGGGTATGACAGTGCTTTACTGCTACAGAGAAGTGCTGGGAGGATGAATGCATTGAAGATTGTAAAGCACTGAGAAACTCTAAACATTGGAGCTATGCACTTATTAAAGTAACAGGACATTTATAATGATATTGAATGGATACAATTGTGTCAACTAAAACTCTCAGGAATGGTCAAAAACCCACACCCTAGTGCAGTCAGTAGTGAAATACTAAGAAATACTGAAGAATAATTTGCCTTCTTAAGATGATACAGGCTAGCAAGTAACACTGGAAGCACAGTGGGATCAGGCAACTTCTCAGAATCAAGTTAGCATAGGTAAAATAATCTGTTGAATTATATCACCTTGCTATTCATTTCCATTAAAAAGTCAAAAATATTTTTATTGCAAAATAATTGCATTATTTCAGTTCAAAAAGGAAAAGCAAAAAAAGTCAAAGAGGATTAATACTAACTATAAAGCACATATCTTATTAAATGTATTGATTGGTAGTTACTGACACGCAGCTGATTAATGGATAAACTTAACTTAGAAGAAATCACTCACTGTCAACTCTCTTTTATGAAAAATGTGTCATATTTTCAAACAGTTTCAGGGAAGTCTTCAGACTCTTCTGGAAAATGTATAGCAAGCAAGTATATTCTATAAATCTTTGCAGTTCCTGGGTCTGCTGTTGCCCATGAGCTACTACAACACAAATGCACATAGATACTACACTGGCAGAGTAAACACAATTCTCCAGTTAAGTTTACATAAATATTCAGAGCTAGTATTTCTACCAATCTGTGGTTAAGTGTCAAATCCTTCACTAGCTATAGGCTCTTCCCAAAGAAAGGTATGTTTCATGTTTGTTCATAAACATGAAGTCTTTACTTTGTGAGTAACTGACAAGATTTGACTTGTGACGCATAACAGGATTTTTATGACCTGACCTTTCTTTTCTTACTTGGCTCATACAGAAAACCATGGAGTCCCTTTTGTAAATATGTAAGTGTACAATAAAGATAATCCATCTTGAATACTAATAGGATGGAGTAGTGAACAGCTTTCCTTTCTTATTTTTAATAAGGGTAATTAAATTCTATCCATCCCCCTTATGTATAGAATCTCTTTGAATGAATGCTCTTCATGAAATTTTCATGAGAAACATCACAATGTAATAGATTCAAATAGCCAGAACTGTTATATTTTTGACAGTTGTGGCTTGTTTCCAATCTGGCTTTCAGGTATTGGCAATAAAACCCAATATTCAACATAAAATGGACCTGGGAAATAATGAAATTTCTAATTGGAGTGCTTATCACAGTGGATTTATTTTTTAAGATGTTAATTGCTTTTTTTCTCTCTAAGTTTATTAGTGATTTATACAAAACTGTCTTTAAATTTTGATCATACCAAGTTTTACAGATCATAAAACACACTGCAAGAGAGCTGAATACCCCATCGGTGAAAAACTGCCTCTCTGTTACAGTAAAACTAACTATTAGAAACTTTTGATATATTGGTAGCTGTACAACTTCACATGAGGTGAAAAGAAAAATACTTTTTACTGCTCATTAGTATGCTCATTAGGCTCTAAACCATAGTATATACCACTATTCCCTATTAATATTCAGTTCTAGTGAATTAGCTTCCAATTCATCAACAATTTAAATCAGACTTGACCTTCTCAAAGCCATTTGGTACTGTCGTTTTGAGAGGCCATTAAAGGGCAGGTTTCTCTGTCCTTGTGCTTAGTAAGTCAAACATGTAATACATATTTTGTTTACGATGACAGATACAAGAAATTTAGAAATACAGCACATTCTTTGAATTTGTTAGGTGTCTCAACAGTACTGCATTCCATTACTGGCATTAACAGAATGCCTTTAATACTGTGCTAGTACCATTTCCAATTGCTGGAAGAGATATACAAAAGTTATTTTTCACCAAATGTATGGCCTGAACAACACAGAGAGGCAATTACAAAGGCTAGTTACCCCATGAACCCTTAAGAGAGAATGATAGGAAACATTTATTTGCCTTGATCCCCATCACGATTGTTCTTAGTATTTCTGAACTGTCTCTCTATGTATTCAGACTGTTTGACAATGCTCTTCTGTAAATGACATCCTTGGGATTCCTAGCCCTGTTGCCAGTTTTGTCAAAGTGGTAATTGCTTCACTTCCAAGCAACACATATGGAAAAAGCACATTAATCTCTACATTCAGATTTCAGCATACCTACAAGCATTATCCAACACGTGATTTCACATGTTGCTCCATCTATCTTAGAGGTAAGCCTGCCCTCACAAATGCAATAGTATTTAGTGTAGACACTCAAACTCAGCCTTTATGTGTAAACAGAAATTTTGATGGAGTGGTATCTTGAAAATACCATCAAGTTAAATTATGCTTCACCAAAAAGAAATCATATTTACCTTTAAGAGTATCTACAGAACACAGCGGCGCCACAAGTACATATCATAAACTCTGTTCTGCTCATCTTTTAACTGTGTTTTCTCTTATCTTAAAGGAAGAATTGTGCTGTGGCAATTTCTCTTTAAATGTCATAATTCTTCCCAAGCTATGTCTGAAGGTATACTGTCAAGCCTTTGTATATACAAAAGCATCTACAGAAAGAAGAGGATTTAATCTAAATCCAGCACAATAGATACACAGCTAAAGAAAGAGAAGAAAAGTAATTATCCAGTGTTTGTGCCACACTTTCTTAACATTTTGACTGCTTTTCCTTTAAAGATCTACTTTCAGATCATGTCTAGGCCCTGCTGGCAGCAAGAGGAGAGGCAGGTTTTAGAAACAGATTGGGTCTTAAAGTCTTAAATTCTTCATAGCTACATCGCTGAATCACTTTGGCAATCAACATCGTGTTTTAACAAGAGAGACAGAACAGCATGAATAATTTTCTCAGTTACAGTACATGATGATAATATTACTATGATATGGATATGAAGTGCAAATGTGAAGTACTCAGAGTAAATTGTGATTACTTTGGTTGTGGGTTATAGAGGATAAAGACAAGGTAAAAACCCCAGGGTCCACGACTAGACAGTTGACATGAAAATTGGGTAGTATTTCTGCTAAGTATTTCCTTCCACATTAACTATTTGCACCATCGAAACACCCATGTTCCAGAATATCCATATTAACCTGCAGTTAAATCTGTGTAATCTGACTAACTAAAAATAGATACTCAAAGTGTTCACTGTGGCTCTTAAAAAATACTGTCCTATGTGAAACAATTATTCTTGTTGTGGAAGTGGAGGGTGGTTCTCCACTCTATTCAGGAAGAAAAGAGATTTCAAGATTCACTGACAGCTTTGCCACAGGCAAATTTTAGTCATTCTGTAGCTCCCAGAATAAAAAGGCACACATGGAGTATTCCCAGAATACACTATAGATACTGAAGATAAACTGCCACAATAAAGTTTATTATTTCAAAGAACATTGTAAATAAAGCTTTAATTTTCACTATTGCAGATGTCAGCAGCACATAATTTGCAGTTTTGACATCATGACTGTATTATTCAAAATTATTCTTCCTACAACTGAACTGAACGCAGGATTGAGAACAGTAAAAGAGAGCAGGGAAGGCAGTAAAATCATCATCTTGCAGCAAAGTTGGTATTCTGTAGTATTATTGAAGAACTATGTATGTGAATAAACTGAAAAATAAAAACAAAGCCATTTCTGATTTATACATAAAAGAAAAATTAAGATTTAAAAGATATAAAGTATCAGAAAAGTGCCAGTTAATAAACATTATTGCTACTGAAATATTTCATAAGGTAAATTTTGCCAAAAATTTAATTATGAACACATAATAAATTCTTCTCCCAGGGTCCTTTGTTCAAAGCTGCTATACACAGATGGATACTTTCACTTAGTAGTGCCATAAGTTAGCAAAGGAGGGTAATGACCACACTGTAAGAATAGATCTAGGTATCTGCTGGGATTTCTCTCAAATTTCACACAATTATACCACAAAAGGAAAGGGAATTAGACATTAATAAGATGACCAGAGACTCACTAACAGTTAGTGAATATTCAACAACAGAACAGCTGCCCATACCGTCCCACTAAAAAAAAAAGCACTGAAAAATATTCTTCATATATTGAAGAGATATGCAAAGCTTTTTTGATGCAAAAGAAAATAAATTTGTTTGGTAACTCCGCATGCAATTACCCTGCAAATTGCAGAGTAATGTCTATATAACAGAACACAGAGCCACTTAGACTGAATTATCATTTGTATGAACGTTGAAGCAGCAATTTCACATTGCATTAAGTCAGTTAACATTCACTGTTATTAGCATTTAGCCTTAAATAAGTTCTCTGTTTTAACAAATGAGTGCATTGAGCCTTCGAAATTAGATATCTTCATAAGGACATGAAAATGGAAAAAGGAATTTGCTCCTTTGGGCAATTCTCAAAATCTGTTAAATTAAAGAATGT